TTTTCTAGAATGTCAGTTTTGTAAGTGCTGTGTTTGTGCAAACATCTAAACTTCCTGGGATTGAGTTTCTATTGGAAAGCCCATAGATTAAGCAGGCTAGTGATTAAGAAACCCAGTATCTTTCCTTGAGCTGTCTGAGGTCAAGACCATCACTAAATCCATTTCTGTCAATTAATTCATTTTTCAGCATTGTCTTATTGGTTCAGTAAGAAGTCATATTTCTTATTTTCATTCATCACATCCTAATTTAATTAATGTATTTTCTCTCCCCTGATTCAATAAAAATGTGAGCTTCTGATGGAGTGGGGTCTTGAATTTGTTATTCTTATTTTTTACCTCCAGTTTCATAATTATTGCATAATATTTATAGATCAACCAACAAGTATTTTAAAAGTAGATAGATACCAAGAACATGACTTTCTAAATTTAAGAGTAAGAACTTGCATTATTTTTAAATTCTTTCATATTTCTGTTTAATTTTAAATACTTTCTTCATTTCTCTTATTCTATAGATGCTTAATGTTATATGTATAAATAATGATGATCATAACCCTTTTTTCTTTCTTACTACAGGCCTCCACAAAGAGAGCTTCATATTTTTCCAAGAGGACAAACATTAATGGCAAGAATTTGTTTTGTCTTGTTTTTGTTGTTTTTTTGAGACAGAGACTCAATGGTGTAGTTGAGACTGACCTGGAAGTCACTATGTAGCCCAAGCTGGTCTTGATCTCAACAGCGATTCTCCTGCCTCAGCCTCCCGAGTGCTGGGACTACAGGTGTGAGCCACCACGCCTGACCAATGACAAGAATTTGTATTAGAGCAGGGGGAAGAGTTTTTATTCTTTGAAAATAGTTAAGTAATAATTATTTATAAAGAATGATATGTGAAGTCTATTTGCACTAGTCAGACAAAAGTGAGAAAAAAAAATGCAAAGAGAAACATAAAAGGTTCTTTGTAGATCTAGGTTTGGAACCAATATAGGCATTTTATGAGCGATAAAGCCCTTCACACCTGAGTGACATTTTGACTTGAACAATAAACTGAGCCCACATACAGTTAAATATTAGGGTTGTTGAATTAATAAATATGCAGAATTAACAAAATCTTAGATAACAGTGTGAATCTCAAGGACATAGCTCTTATCTGCTTTTTCATAGGCAGGCTTTAAATTAAATAAACTTTAAAATGTGTGCAGTTCTGTGCAGTGTGCAGAGTAAAATTCGTTTAAAGATATTTTTTATTTTGTCTCTTACTTTGTGGGGAAATTGTAAACTCAAAACTTTCATACCTACAATAAATACTTATTGAAGTTTTTGATGTTTTACTTTGAAAAGTTAAGAAATACTCTCAGTTTTAAGAACAAATTCTAATTGCCTCATTGGCCACTTCTCAGAGTCAATTTATTTATTTATTATGCATTAATAATTAATTAATTATTAAGTAATTTAATCAGATTCACTCTGATTTAAGTGCTGGAAAAAATTCTTGAGTGATAGCAATTGAAGTGGTTGATGTGATTCTCATATTTATTACAACTTTTAAAACCCGTTTATCTACTGAATATTTTAAGTGAAGTTAAATTGCAAGAAGTGCTGCTTATCCGTTTAGTTGTCTGATATTTTGTCAGTTTGTTTAAGCAGGGACATCTCTAAAAACAATAAAAAAGTCTGTTAGCATTTCATTCTAGCAATGCCATGCTTGTATTTTTTTTGTTTTGTGTTGTTTTATAGCTCACTTTCTACAATTAAGAAGAAATGATTTATAAGACATATGATTTAAGTACAAATATTTCCAAAATTAGGACTTAAAAGGTTCCTTCTTGACATGATTTATGATGGTATCAGCAGGTTGTTAGTTTGATTTCTGATACCCAAGATTTTGCTTTATTTCCCTCTTTAAACATGCTTAAATTCACAGATGCATTTGACATAAGGACCCAGTGTACTGGTTACTTTTATAAATCAGATATGTTTTTCTATCTTGATGATGAAATGTCTTAGAAATGGCCAAGTTGTGTTTTTACATTAATTTTTCTATCTTTATCTCTCTCAGAAGCCCCTTAAAGCCCATCTATCCTCATTTACTATGAGATACTTGAAAGAAAAGGCAAACATTTGCTTGATTGGCAAACATTTTTGTATTAGAATGAGAGAGAGGTTTGGTCAATTCCCTTCTAAGTCAATCAGTTGGCTTTGAGTTCTAAGACCTGGCTTGATGTTGTTGAGACTGAAAGCCTTAGTGGGCAAAGACCATTTGCAACAGAGACTACTGGGCTTAGCATGGCAACAGAATGATTTCCACCATAGTTTATCAGATTTCCTGAATTCACAATTTCCCATTTTCATCACTTCAGTTTAAGGTGAATTCTAGATTTTTAATGAGAAAATGATAAATATATATGGCACACATAGGTAAGAAATGACATGGAGGCAGCAGAATTGTATTAAATATAATACAAAGAAAACAAATATAAAAGCAGTGTATTACAATCATTCTTAAGAACCCCATGGAAAAATCACTCCTTTGTATTTACTAACTATGGGTTCTGGATGGGTGGTGAAGATTAAAAGACATCAATATATGTAAAGTGACTGTCTCTATGCCTGGCACATGGAAGATGTACAAGTTGGGCCTTTCCTCTCTACCCCTAGCCATAGGGATAACAACTGATTGGCATGTTTTAATAGTGATTGAGAAAAAAAAAGTAAACGATGAAATTCTACTGTGTGTGTGCATTTACAGAAATGAAATTCTATTTAGGTCTTCCCAGAACCAACTTCAGGGATGATTAGAAACAGACCCCTGTCATTATATGCTTAGCATTTATCTTTTAAACCTTTGGCAAATCTGAAAATGAGCGTAAGAAAACCCAGAGAAGAGATGGACTTAATAAATGACAGAGAAAAGGAAGGGAATTTGAAAAGCCTTTTTTGTCTGTGGGTTCTGATTTCATGAAGTAGGAACAGAAACACAAAATCAAGGTCTAGGCTATAACTCAGTTTCCTAACACCAGTGACTTACTATATCCACCCTGCATAGCATACTCCACTTTGTACATTTACCTATTGACTCTCCAATTGCCTAGACTCACTCTCAAGTAAAGTATTCCTCACCCACCTGGACCTGTAAGTTCTCCCACCATCCCTCTTACAGCTTTCCTCCCACCCAATACTCTTCCCCTGGTCTTCAAAGCTGTGTTTTGTTCCTAGCAAGCTTTCAATTAATCCCCAGTGAGGTGTTAACAGATAATCAACTGTTAACTGAAGTGTGAATCCTCCCAAGATTATTTCAGTGTTGAAAGCAGGCTCTGGAAGACCTAAATGTTCAGTTATATAGAGAAAGCAACAGAAAAGACTTCTCAGTCATTAATAGCATCACAGTGAGTGGCCTTTTACTCTTGTGACCAACATGCCTAATGGATTAACAGGGCTAATGACAATGACTTTGGAGGCAGAGGTTTAAGGAACTCTGGGAGTAATGGGGGATATCAGAACATTACAAATGCAAGACAGGTAGGAACTGCCCTCCCTGACTTTAGAATTTTAAACTTGCAGTTCCTTTGTAGATTCTATTTCATTATCAGATCTAGAGTTTAATTCTCTATCTGAGCCTTTTATTTCAAGATGCATACAGTTACTGCTTACAATACTGTTATTGCTTATTCAACAAATGTTTATACTTTATACTTCACTTGTAAGTGAAAGTTAAATGCAAAAAGATTGTTTGAACAAGTTAAGATTGAACAGTAAGTTAGGATTGATCTGTGTATCATCTATTTACCTATCTTACTCTACCTATCGATATCATATATTTCCATATATATATATATATGGAAATGGGTGCATAAAATAAACAAATGTGCTAAGTGCTCAGGCTTACATGAGGCTGGGGCTATAAGAGGACAGAGGACCCAGAACGGGACGAAGTAATGGTGGAGGTGGTTGGACCCACTATCATCTGAGTCATGTATGGAGCAGGAATTTAAACATTTTGAAATGCCTCTTAAAATAAATTTCTTTCTTTGGAAAATTAATACACATTAGGATTCTCTACATTATCTGATAAATGTTTGGGTCAATGTGAGGTTCTGTGAATTGCAGTGGCAGATTCTGTGTGTGATTCAGCACAGTAGAAAAGAGGGAAATTGAGGAAAACATCTTTTGTTGTTGTTGTTGTACCAGGGATCGAACTCAGGACTTTGGGCTTGTAGGCAGGCACCAGAACCACTGAGCTAAATCCCTGACCCTAGGAAAATATCTTTTAATGAGTTAAAATAGTATCCTTTCCTTTCATTTAAATTACATAGTGTATATTCATTTTAACCCCACAAATAAAATTAGAAATTATTAGCAATTCTTTGAGTTCTATTTTAATATCTGTTGAAAAATGTTACCCAAGTGTCATCTGAGATTGAAGTGGAAATAGAAGTATTAGGTGTTGTTACTATTCAAACAGCTCTTGAAATTTAGCAAACTACAAGAAATTTTCAAAGCTCATAACTTTGAGAGATGTAGTTTTGGCCAACATATCTAATAATTCAAATGGAGACACATAACATTATGTACTCTTTTAGCTTCCAGAAATCTCTTGAATTACAATGCAATGTTCACTTCACTTGAATCCCTTAACTCTATGGGAGAATTTTTTCATCTGATTCTATTTACAGGGGCTAAATTTTGAATGATTTAGAGATTATTTTGAATATATACGGAAAAAGTCATGAAGAATTGGATATTAGGGTGTCAAAGTGCTCGTCTCATTCTGCAGGAAAATGACATAGGAAGCTTTTAAAATTTTTGGTTCAGATCCTAGAACATAAAATACAGTTGCCAAGGAGTTTCTATAAAGCCATTAAAATGCATCTGCACTCTGAGTGAGACTTAGACGTACTCAAATTCCCTACTTGGTAATGAATCTACCTTTAAAAAAAAAAAAAAGGAAGGCCACAAGCCTTTAACTTAATCCAGAAATTCACAAAAAAATTACACCTCCTGAGTTAGGCGGATCTCCCCAGACCCTATGATGGCCTTGCTGCAGGGCTGAGTTCAGTCCCGGTTTACAGGCTAAGAAGGAACCCAGCATTCTGACTTGGTGAAGCATAAAGTTTTCTTCTGTCTCATTTCCCGCATCTGCCTGGCCACCCTTAACATCGCAGAGGAGGAGCGACTAAGACCACAGACTGCTTTTCTAAGAGATAAAGCCGGGCACAGAGAGAATGAGCAGGCTGCCTGGGGAACGCGAGAACCTCTTCTGGAGGGGAGAGGTTAGAAAGCGCACACGGATTCCTAGGCCAGGAGCTACCGCATCCTCCGGCTCCAGCAGAGCGCCGCACCGCACCCGGAGCCCACTCACTGCAGCTGGGATTCCGGGAGAGGAAGGTGGGACCGGAGGAGGTGGAAGGGTAAGGCGGAGGCGGGGAGGGAGGGGCGGGTGAACCGAGGGGAGCCGGAG